TCATCAATATCAAGGAATTATTTTCTTAAAACAAGCTTCCATATCTTTATAAGTTAAATTTGTCTTAATTCAAGTGTGACAAGATATTTGCTCTAGAAACCTGGAATCCTTGGTAAAGTTTTGTTTTTGCAGTGAATCTAAAAGCCATAGAAATATAATTGTAACCATTACCAGAGTGATCAGTGACCAATAAGATGGTTTATGAGATATTTTGGCATATTTTAATCTGTTAAACTGTTGATCACCTGGGATTAATTTCCTGTTAATTGACGATTTATGAGACAGGTGTAGGCAGGTACATCTTTATAGACTCAGGTTGCTGTGAGCAGCTTCTTCTTTCCTCTGTAAATGATATCATCATTTGAAAGCAGCTTTTTGTGTTCAGTCAGATTATGTAGCTCTGATATTGAACATTATTTGATCTAAAACATTTAAACGTGACTGAAAAACCAGAGAAACCTGTAAGAAGGTGAACACTTTTTCCACAGTCCTGTAAGTGTTCGGCGCTCTGAAGATCTCAGAAAGGTTAGAGAGGAGGAAGAGGAGGAGGAAGGGAGGTGCTACGTCGAACCTCTCCACCCGCCGTGCTGCTCTCCTCCCCCGTTTACCTGCTGTAAACGACGTAGACGAGGCAGCTCTTCTTCATCGCCTCCGACACAACTCGCCACCCGACTTCTTCTTTCTCGTCGAAATGACCAAATTTGTGCAATTTTACTTTTTTTGTTTGTTTGTTTTTGTTTTCCAGGACCACACTACATTCCAATCTTCCTTGAACATGCTTTTTAATATACTTATGGGGTATAGATGAATATAATTATATACAGTATCTATGTTGTTAATGTTTACAGACAGATTTCTCTCACTTCATCTCGGTGAGTGGTGTATTACGTTTGTTTGTTTCGGTGTTGAACATTACACAGACCTCTTTGTGAAAATAGTCCTATTAAGGTGAAATATAATGGTATATAGTGTAATGGTATGACATTACAGAAGTACTTGTGATTTCATATTGCCAGTCCCACTCGCCATTGTGTACATAATTGGCTCACCATATTGTAAAGTACTTAAAAATCAGGACGGCGGAGGCTCTTCTGTCGCGTCTGGAAGAACTTCTCGGTTTTCTGGGGATTTTTTTTAACGTTCTCACGCGTCCTTTACTTAATTCCTGTTACCTGTATAGTAAATGGAGAAGGTGGGGGAAGGCCCAGCTTGTGATCACTGGTGCTGTGTTTCAAGTATTGTTAATAAGCCTTAAGTTTTAATTTTCGGCACGCTGCAGAAGGTTGCGGCTCATTTCAGTTGTTTCATTTCACCCGTGTACTGTGACGGCGTTTCTTTTTATGTTTTTGCCAAACCTATGAAAAGCACTTTCACACGGGCAGACACAGAAATACACGGACGGACGGACAAGTATTTCAAAAAACAGATACCTCTTCTTGTTATAACATTGGAGTTTAATCTGTGTTGTGACTGTTTTTGCCTCTTAGTTGGAAACATTGTGAATGCTAGGTCTCCTTTTTCTTTCTTTTTAAACAAAAGTGGCCTAATTGCTAGGAGTTTATTTTGTTGTGGTTGTTTTGGACAGAGGGGGGCCCAAATAGGAATAAACTGCCACCCCAGCTTTGGATTTAAACAGGAGAAAAAAATACTCCAGAGGCACTTCTTTTTGTTTGTTTGCAGGAAGAAATGGTGTAACAACAATCCAGTCCAGTATGATGTACAAACATAAACTTCTGTACAGTGTTTTTAAATTGCTCATCAAGTCAGAACTAAAGTTTTTGTATTTATTGCACCGCATTTTATACAGATTTCTTTTTTCAAACACCAGTGCAGTAACTCATCTCCCTTCTCACCACGGTGTAACATAGATGATGAAATAATGAGATAAAAAAAACACACACACGCACGGGGAGTTTTATGTTTTATGCCTGTATCTAATCATTTTCTTACATTTGGTGTAATGATTCCACATTTGGTGACAGCAGCTGCTTGTCGGCCTGTATTATGACTCACTGTAATCGGTGTTTTAACGCAGTTCGATATTGAAATGCAAGGGTTTTTTGTTGCAGATAAATGTAATCATGACAGGATGAGAGAATTTTCTGCTTTTCTTCTTCATTTTTGCCCATGGAAGACATTTTTGGGGGTCACAGGGTGAAAAAGTGCCAATGTTGCCATCCTCTTTCTTTTAAAGTGTCTTTAAAGTTGCTGTTGCTTTTGTTTTTTGTTTTTCAGCAGAACCAGTGTTGCAGCTTTTCAGCAGTTATTGGCTAAAATATTATACGCGTTTCTCATGTCACATAATTAAGACCTGGATGAATTACAGATAATTGCATTGAAAGATTTATGTTTAGGAGCATTTTTGCTCTTCTCCTGTAGTTTAAGCTTTCTTTTTCTCTATTAAACTTGTAGCTGAATGTAGGAAAAAAAGAAAATAATTAGAATATTTCTTTTTAACTCCAGTTTTGCTGGACGTTTTCACATTTTCACCTTTTCAAATCAAATAATCAGAAAAATTACACATTGGAGTTGAGCTAATTATGAAACTAATCCAAAGAGCTGAAAGTGATGGCTTCTCTAAGCTCTGTTTTTTTAATTTTTTTATTTTAATAGAACTTCTTTAGTGCACCATTAAGGCACTTTCCTTTGCGAACTTAACACTTGATGTTTCTGTATGTCTTTGCTTTTCTCACATAAGCCTCCTTGTTGCTTGAGGGAATATCTTCTGGTTTTTGTGGCTGTATAATTCCCACTGAAGCCTCTGTTTTTGTTGTAATGGTGAATGTTGTCGAGGTGGAGTGCATGCTTCCAACATCAGACGATTCCAATCGATGCCAATGTTTGGCTGTATTTACTTTTGTTTGATTTTCACCACATTGCACAGAGAGTCTGCAAAAAAAAAAAAGAAAGGAAAAAAAACCCAAACAGCCTTTATTTTTGTTTTTCTTTGCACCTGTAGATCGCATGATCGCACTTGCATCTTTGTGCCAGTTGGTTGCCTCCTGCCCTGCTGAGCTGACGCAGCTGAAGTGTTACTGCTTTAATCGTCTCTCCGTCTGGTTTTATGCTTTTATTTTCTCCTTTAAGTGACCCGTAACTCTGATTTTTATTTCAAATCTACGAAGGAACACCCGATCCCTCTTCCCTTTGTTTATCAAAGGGAATGTTTCAGTTCACTGTGACGTCTTTTTTTTTTTTTGTGCAATGTTGGGCCGTCTGTTGTTGAGGTCTCACCTGACATCCTGTCAAATAGTGTTGGAATAAATGAATAATTTCACCTGCATAAGCACTCTTCATCTCTTCTTACTCGTAGGAAACCTGCTCACAGTAACTCTGACTGGGGTCATATCTATCTCTCTTGGTGTTGCTTCGATTAAACCGTGGATGAACACACACCGCCATGTTAACTACCTGTGTTACTGCATACCACACACACATTGTCGAGGAACTTGTAAATACTTTGCATTGAATTTGCATAGACTCATGTTACTGTGGTGTGCTCTTTTTTTATTTTTATTTTTGCCTGTAAAATTCTGCTTCTAAATGTGTGTGACTGTTGAGAGACACTCTTCTTTTTGTACATGATCTGTCTTTTTATTTGGAGATATTGATTCTGTCCTTTTTCATTCTGAAGTTGAGTTTGAAGAGTTCAGACATGCCTGAAGTTTGACTTTAATAAAGCTGTACTCTGTCTCAGTGAAACATTTCTTTCTGCTTCACTTTTTAACCATCTGTGTTGCAACATATAACATTCATCTATTGATATTTTAAAAAATATGCAGCCCTTTGAATGTTTTGCTCTTTTATTCCTTCTACAAATCAATCACATTTGACAAAATTAATAAAGGAGTAAAATTGCATAACGGAGATCCATCCACAGACTCCAAAGGTGCATCTACTTAAAAGTTTAATAGGTGAATATATATGTAATCACATATGTATATTGTCACTATTTTGTAGAAATTGGCTTTCACTTTTACATTAAATTTGGTTTTTGTATATATATATATATATATATATATATATATATATATATATATATATATATATATATATATATATATATATATATATATATATATATATATGTCAGTCTATAGATAGATTGAAAAATATGTAATTTTTGATCTAAAGAAGCCCAAATTTTGTTAATCATGATCAACTTTTCTTAAAACAATAACAAGAATAAAACATCCAAGAGGATTAATACCTACTTTTTATGTGAAAAGTGAAAAATACGTAAATATTTTTCAATACAAGTAGATGCAACCTCTGGATGGCGAGTCGTAATGTGACGTGGCTTCTTGCATCCACGTGTCAAAGCTTAACAAACTGGGCCGTATCGAAACTTCCGGTTTTCAGAACTCCAAAAATATAAATAAAGAAATATGCATGCATTCTAAAAAAAAAAGTTTAGTTTCACGTGAACTTCATCAATTATTTATGGATGCAGGTAATGTTAAGATCATATATAAAAGTATAGTTATTTTTAGCATACTTTGGCTAAAGTGCTTTTACCTTACTTTAATTTGTGTCATTTTAAAACATACATTTTATGTATTAATAATGCACAGGATTAAAACCTAATACTACTATTTCATAAACAATTAGAAAAATAATTATTATGACAAATGGGTTTATGTTACATGTGTCTCACTGTAAAACAAGAAAAAAACTAAGAATGCAGATGTCATGAAACTCTTTAAAAAGTGCTATTCCAAAATTAATTTCCAGGCAGAAATGTACCAGTTTTAACAACTACAAAAAGAAAACAATTTTGTTTCACAGTGACTGCTGATTCTATTGCACAACCAAGAAATTGAAGGGAAAAAAACTAAAATTAAGCAAAGAAATAATAGTAGTAAAATATATTATTATTATTATTATTATTATTATTATTACTAAAAAAGATAAAAACGATAGTATTTGCCTCGCTTGTACTTGGAATTTTATTGTGAAACTACAAACCGGAAGAGTCAGTTTTAGCCGTTAGCTTCACTTGCAGCTATCCCCTTCCGTGACACCTCTGTTTCTTCAAATACCTCCAGTGTCTGCAGAAAAAGAGGGATGCCGAGGCTCGTGTTGTGAAATTAACGAGTTAAATCAAGTATGGAGAGATGAATTCCGGCCTGTTTAAGGTTAGTAACTGAGACACTCTGCTCCTTTAACGATAGCACGGAAATTAATCAGAGGAAGGATGTATTGTTGTTTGACAAATGCTAGCTTAGCTTATTACAAATCTGCTTCCACTTGATTTTTTTTCTATTTATTTGACATTTCTCTATCCTGACAAGTTTTAGTTTGTAGATTGGTTTAATTTTACAATTACCTAAATATGTATTTAGTAAAGCTGAGCCCTTTTAATAACACTTTCACCTTGATGTGGAGGGTTTACAGGTGCAGCATGTTGGCCTTTGTGTCAGATTTAATATGTAATGTAACATATTTTATTCATAAGTGTAAGTAAACTGCTGAGCCCGCTGAGAAATCCCAAATGCACTTCCTGGCAACGATTTAACAGGTTTAATTCACATTATCAACAATACTTATGTAAATAAGTCATAACGTGTTTTCATAAAGGCAGATAAAAATATCAACAAGCCAGTAAATAATCTGGTATTTGACACTCGTTGAAAATTGTTTATTGGCAAAGGGTTAACCAAGGAAATTAATCTGCAGGCAGACGGAACAGGATTATAACAGCAAGCTTTCAACCAGTAAGAGGAGAGAGTTAAGGCCAACAACAATGGATCTCTCTCTCTGGATCTGTACTTAAATGACATTAGAACTATTTATATAAGTGTTTCAAGGCCGAATGTAACACATACAGCCAGCAGGTTAAACTGGAATCACTGCTCAAATCACCGCCACCATCAGCTCAGTTACAGAAAGATAAACAAGGTCTTCTTTCATGTCATTTTGTAGTGCAGTGATGCTACTTTCCATCAGAAATAGGCAAAATTATCATTCCTGTTTATTAAAAACAACAAAAAAAGAAGATTAAAAAGACTGAAAACCTTTTCTGTCCAAATACAACAAAAAAGGTGATACGTCTGATTTCCAAAAATTGCAATCAGCCATGGAAATATCAATCAACCACTGGTCTTAAATACAAGAAGCTCAAAGTATTTTCATCCCTTTAATGTGTCTGTTATTCTAAGATCACTTTAAATTTTTTCGAACCAGAAACTCTGGCTGTGATTGACTCTTTCTTACCGAAATAGGACAAAACCTGGTCTGATGAGTCTTGACTGCAGCTGTAGCACTGAGTATGAAGCCTCTGTTTTGCCCCAACTCCTTCTGCCTTTATGTACTTTATCTCTCCTTCTGCCTTTATGTACTTTATCTCTCCTCTATGCTGCTTTTTTTATTAACTCCACATAAAAAAAAATCAAAGCCATGTTTTATTACTCCTAGCTTAGGGCCTATGTGGGAAATAGCTCAGAGATGTCTGCTGCACTGTTTGCTTTTGGAGTTTTGTATTCAGGTTTCAGTGAAATTCAATAAAATTCTCAATGATTAAAAAAAGTTACTGAAAAAACTCTAAGAAACTTTGAAAGTTTTTTTTTTCACCAATAGTTTTGCAAAAAGGGCAATCTAAGGTTTGATTAAAAGCCTAAATTTGTGAAACATTATTTACAGTTGATATTTTCATATACATAATAAAAAGACACATATTTTTTTTTCTTTTCTCAAAGTTAAATCAGACCAAAATTATCCTGTTTGTGTCAGTTAAAATTATCAAACTTATTTCTATTTGCTAAACGTCAGAAAACTCGTGTGTGTACAAGAGACATTTCAAAACATAGAATTTAGTCTTTTTTAGTTTACCTTTTCCTGCTGTAGAATGTTAAATACTGTTAGATATTACTAATAATGGTATAATATATAATAGTGAATTGAAACGGTATTATTTAGTTCATTTGTATTATTTGTATCTCTGAAGTGTGGTGTTGGAAAATTTTGAATATTTATACCCTTTTTTATTCATTTAAGATGATTATAACCTGGTCTCAGAGTGTTACTAACTAGTTAGTAATGATCTCCTTTAAGCTTTTAAGTATTTTGGTCTTTTTTTAATCCTTGTTTAGTAAAGAAGTGGCGGGATGATGTTTGCTGTTGACTGAAGTCCAAACCAAGAACCAAAATGAAGAAGAGACTGCTGCAAGGTTTCCTGTCGGAAATCTCCATCCGGTGTGCTCTTCTGTTTGTGTTTCTGTAAGTTTTATTCTTTTTTTTAAACATCACAGTGGTTGATGTGGTAGTGTAGTTCACAGTGCAGCTTTATGGACCGGTGTTGTTTGTTGTTTGTTAGCGTGACGGAGCAGCTCCCTCCCTTCTACCGGGAGATCCAGGCCGAGGAGATGTGGCTGTACAAGTTCCATCGCGTGGAGTCAGACCACGTACCAACCCCACTCATGTTTGTATGTATCCCTGAGCTCTAGAACAGAACGAGCTGCTCTAAATTGACTTCATATTTTTATAAAATATTAAGTATTTTACTTCATGTTCATATGAGGAAGTTACAAACACAAACTTGAAATGGATTTTATTGGAATTTTTTGGTGATGGACCAAAATAAAACTGAGCATAATGGTGAAGTTGTGCTACATCTTTTATTAACACAATAGCAATATTTTATTTTTTGGTGGAAAAAAGCTACATTTAATTATATTTTTGTTTTTCTGTCTGTTTTTAACATCGTGGTTGACCTGTTTTTGGAAGCTCAGCCAGATGATAATGGTTGAAGAGGTTTTATTCCTACAGAATGACGTGTTTGCAGGTTTAGTGACTGTTTAGTTTCTAAAATTTACTGCTGCTCTTTTCAGAGTTTGGCTGTTTTAACCCCCCTGATTATAATCCTGGTTTTTAACCTGTTGATAAAGTCGGAGCATGGCGATCTGAGAGAAGCCTCTCTGGGTAAGAAATAAACTCCTACAAACATGTTCATGACTCATTTCCTGTTTGAGGTGACGTGTGTTTTTCATGACTCTGTTGTTTCCTCGTCATCCAGCTGTGACTCTGACTCTGGTGCTCAATGGAGTTTTTACCAACGTCATCAAACTTGTAGTTGGCAGGTAAAAAGTCTCAACATCATACATCATTTTGCTGTTGTTTTCAGATTTTTTTTTTTGCCTGCCAATGAAAACATTATCCTGCCTCTGCTTTTATTCCCTTCAGGCCGAGGCCAGATTTCTTCTATCGCTGTTTCCCGGACGGTCAGATGAACTTGGAGTTGCGCTGCAGCGGTGACCCAGATGTTGTCATAGAGGGACGAAAAAGCTTTCCCAGCGGACACTCCTCCTGTAAGCGGCCATTTTGATTGAACTGGTCCCAAAATGGTTCTATGAAACTATTCCTTACCCAAAAATGCTAATGTTAACCAAAATGCTACTACTGGCATGTAGGGCATCGCTAGCATGTCGTCTTACATTGACTTCTGTAGTTGTAACTGGAAGCTCTGCCCTCCTCTATTGGAACTGAGCGTTCCGCCATTTCAGTAGTTCTCTTCATGTCTGCCCTCCTCAGTGTTCTGTTGCCATTAATTAATCCTCTGTGAAACCTGTCATGAGTGAGTGAGACCCAGAGGGGGAGACAAAATTCTGTTTCTGTTTTGACTCTAAACTGACTCAAGACAGAGTCGGTAAGAATTTGTTTTGATTTGAATTTGGCTCGTTCTTTTCCGCTATTGACGTCGCCAAGGTTACTCGAAATGCTAACAAAAGTAATAGCGCCTCTCGCCTTGATTTCTCAGTTCATGTTTTTGTTTTTTTCCCCTCAGTTGCCTTTGCAGGTTTGGGTTTCACGGCGCTGTACATCGCAGGAAAGCTGCGCTGCTTCAGTCCGACCGGCCAAGGCAGAGCATGGCGGCTATGTGCCTTCCTCACGCCTCTGCTCATCGCAGCTGTAATCGCTCTTTCCAGAACCTGCGACTATAAGCACCACTGGCAAGGTCAGAGTTTCTGGGCTAGAAAATATAACTTCAACATGTGCTTCTGAAACTGATACTTGGGGAATGACGTTACACTAAACCTTTTAAAAAAAAGGATTGTAGACAATAAAACATTGTTTCTTATAGTCTGTAAGTCATAGCTCTTATGTATTACAGTCACTCAACCTCTTCTAGCTAGCTGAGCTAGATTGAACTAACTAGCTGCTAATAAACTTGCACAGCAGTCTCATAAAGGCTCAAAAATACATACAACGGGATGGAGTGAAAGGAGAAAACAAGTACAACTGGAGATGACACTGTGGATAAAACAGGAAAGATCCCCTCACCAGTTTGGCAGCATTTCAGATATTTTAAACAAAAAGCTAGTCAATAATTATCAGTTCACTGATATGAAACACATATTGTATGTTTTTCAGCCATCATGTACATCCCTAGTTGGAATATGTCATTCTTATAAATGTAATTATTTGAGGTTTTTTCAATCATCCTTAATAAAAAAATAAAAAAAAGCTTTTTTTGGCTTTTCTTTTAGACTACTGAGATAAAGCAAAGTACTTAAAGATGAATTAGAACAGCTTGATTTTAAGTATTTACTATTTATTATTATTTTTTAAATGGTAAAATGAATGAGAAATTATTTAAAATTAAAAAAGTTTTTAATTTTTTGTAGCATCCAGTACATTTTGAGAAAGCCAGAAGTGAGGGTTAAATATTGATTTATAAAAGTTGTCCATATATTCATCAACCTACATAAGAGCTAGAGAAGAAGAAATAAAAATTACAAAAGTTTTCACCATCCATCATTATGCACGCCCCATTATATTAGTGCAATTCTTTCCTTTAATTTCTTTCCAGAAATCACAAATTTCAATCAATTTGTTCCCTTATTGACTGAAGCTAAAATTGAGTTGCTTTCTTTTTTTTATCCTTTTACTATTGCTACCTTAACAAGAAAGTTACCAAAATAAAAGCATAAACCCTTAAAGATAGTTACAATGAGCAAAGAAAAATGGACTGATTTGATTTTTACAAAAGGTTTTTCTCCACATATCAACTCTTTGTTGAAAAGGAAACAGATCATACTGTTCAGACTTAACTTGAGAAGCATTAACAAAATCAGGATGTTATGAATTAAACAAACAAAGTGTGGTTTACTTCTTGACTCGTTGTCCTCCGTGCAGATGTGTTAGTGGGGTCCATGTTGGGTCTGGCCTTCGCCTGGCTCTGCTACAGGCAGCACTTTCCTCCGCTTCAGGACCCGGACTCCCACAAACCGATCCGTCAGAGAGAGACTGTCCCCGCGGCGCAGGAGCGCAAGTTGGCCAACTCCAACTTCCTCCTGCCTCTGTAGAGCTGCTGCGACCTGAACGCTTTCCACGGGATAACAAGGAGATCCGTGGAATTACGGTTTTCAAAACGGTCGGGATGGAAACTTTGTTAGTGTTTATATTTATTGTTGGTTATTACCGCTGCAGCTTTTGAAATTTCTATGATTGTGAATGAATGAATTACCAAATCATCAACAGTTCTAATTAGAGAAACTGAAAAGTATCATAACATACCTGATATTTTAGTTTCATGGTTTGACTTGAGCCCAGTTCTGTACCTTTATAGGACTGTTACTGACAACCACTGCTTAGCTGCGTTAGCCATTGTTGGGTGACTTGATTGTTTATCTTGGAACTTTTTAAAGAAGCAGATATGCATACACTAGATCTAATTTATTTCCATTAGTCTTTATTCTTGACTGAATAGAAGATTTGTGGTTTTAAAGGTCTGATCCACAACAATGCAGATCTTTTACTTCAGTGGTCTTCTGCTATTGAAATGATCACAACACTGCAAAAACACAAAAACTTACCAAGTATTTTTGATCTAGTTTCCTATCACTTATCTTTGTGAAATAAGACTAAACTAACTTACAAGTAACTTTTCAGCTACATATTGGAGCTTATTTTTAATAAATAATTGCTTAATATTGATGGAAAATACTAGCTCCACTGGAAGATTATTTCTTAGAATAAAAACATTTTTCCAACCATTTTTATAAGTCAAATAATTGACCAGTGGAAATAGTATTCAATTATTGATTTAAAAGATGCTCTTATAGCTTGCTAAAAAGTTACTTGTGAGAAAGTTTTGACTTATTTCAAGTAAACTAAGATATCCAGACAAAAGAATTCTTGAGGTTTTGTGTTTTTCAGTGATCAGAAACATTAGGCTCAGATTTTTCTCTGTTCATCATTTTTGACTCAAAGTAGCCAAAGCACAACCCTGAAACTTTGCAGGACATTGCCAACATTTTGTGAAAGTATTTATTTATGTATGTTTTTGCTTTGGAGGACAGCGACATGCTGTAAATTGATCTAAAAGAAACTGGGACCTTTTATGCTAGCGTTTTCCACATCCCCTCTTTAAAACGCAAATATAATTTTGACCAAATTTTCCTAACAGTTTTTTTCTGTTTACGTTTGTTATTTCAACACAAAGATAATGTTTGTAAAGCCTGTTTCTTGAATTTCAATAGGGCGGTGATTTTTCCAGTGAGCATTTCCAGGAGAAATGCAGTGAAATGTTATCTTCTTCATTTAGCTCACACACAGAGAAAGGAAGAATTATCATTAAAGTAAAGCAACTTCTTTCTTTCTTAGCTTACAGCTCAACAAAAACATGTCCACTCACATTAACAGTCTGGCTGTTTACTCCCCGTTCTGTGTTGAATTATTGACTTTTTGTAATCCTCGAGTTAAACTGTTCCAACAAAAGGGTGCTTTTGTTGGGAGAGGAAAAATTCACCTTCTTTATCTGTGTTTATTTCTCCAGTGCTCATCCTGTTGACATATCCCCACTGAAAATTACCACAATCAGTCATTACTGTTTTTTATTATTATTTTCAGTCATAGATTAGCAGGATTATAAATAGGACTGTTACTGATAAGGATGTGTATTTGCTTAGAAAAGCAGTGAAAAGAGTAATCATGATTTATGTTTCATACTTTTTTTTATGTTAATTTGCTCTGTGATATGTTAAGTGAGAATCTAGTGTAAGCAGAGCTGAACTATAGGAATAATTTCATGTGAAAAGGAAGGGAAACGGGAGGAAAGTAAGTGGGAGTAATTTTAGTAGTTTGTTTCCTTCAAAGGTAGATTTGTTATTTAGGTAGTAGTCCAGTGTTGGGAGTTTTAGATTGATGCACATTTCATTCGTTGAGGCTGAAGCCACAAAAGTTGTTGGTTTCTTGTATAATTGTCTCAAAATTAGTTGCGCTGCTTTATTAGCCATCCGTTTTGTTTAAAGCTTAACGACAGCTTCGTCAGCAGGACTTGTTTATTGCTGCCTTTGTTTGTGTTGCTCTAAGTCTTTCTGTTTTGCTTTAGTATTTCTTGAATGTTTATCATTGTTATGTTGTTTGTGTTTAATCTCTGGCTTCATGTGCCAACAAACTCTTAGTACAACAAGCAAATGTAGCAGCACCACGCTGTGCTTCAGAGTTACGATAGTGCCTGCTGTACTTTAACTTTAGTCTCTGCTCTTGCTGAACAGCCCAGTGGGTCATATTGTTACAGATTTTTATGACTGTAAAGGAACTGTGAGGGAAACCTTTCCTTGTTTCAGTGAATCTAACACTTACTGTAAATGGTTTTTGCTGGTTTTACGAATGAATTGTGGCTTTTTTTTCTTGAAGCCGAAGAAAAACGCTCCGTGAGTTAGATTTTGGTAGTAAGCATGGGTCGGTAAATTTGCATAATGTGATAACTTTATGCAAAAATACTACAATTTCACTGTGATAAAAAGAATCTAACAAACAAATAAATTATTTGTTTTTTCTTGTTTTTATAAAAGAAAAGCAACCATTAATAGTCCTGCTGAAATGTTGAATAAAAAAATGAGTAGGGATTTTCAAGTAAACGCGCCAACAAGTTTTTGCGAGGTAAACTTAGTCAGGCTGTCTGCTCTGGGCTAATTGGTTGGTTTCCAAACTACAAAAATCTGTTTTTATTTTAGTGTTTGTTGCAACCAGAGAAATGTTTTGCTTTTCTTCTACAGATGTTGTAACTTTCCTTCAGCTAGCTGACTGTCAGTGCAAAGCAACAAGTTGGAGAGAGGCAGAACTGACTTATTCCATCTGCTCCAGCACTTTTTCTGACTTCTCACTCAAATAATCAATTTTTAACCTTTTTTTTCTTCCTTAACCTTTGCATATCTTGATACCACTAGCCGACCCATGCCTACTTGGTAGTGACCAGATCTTTGTACTGGACCCGACAGAGGTTGAACCTCTCCTGCTGGTCAGGTGCTGCAAAAAGCCAAAATGAAAATCTCACATCTCATCTACTTTAGTTTTTCAAAAAAGGAAATTGTTTACCTGTGTGTTTATTTTTTGGTTGTTTTTTTTGCTTCGTTTTGTCCAGTTTTATTATTTTTCTGTAACGATTTTGTGCTATTGCTTAATTTTGCTTGAGATGTCAGCCTTTCTCTGCTACACTGCTCTTTTTTTTTTCTTGTGTTGGACCTCTTGTTACAATCTGTGTAAAACCAGCCAAAGTTTGCAGGTTCAAAGCACGTCTGTGAGAATCACTGCACTCCGATCAGACTTGTCAGAAAATGAGTGACTTTGTGCCTTTGTTTACTGCGTTACTTTACAGATCCACGCCTTGTACCACAAGCTCATCCTGCTGTTTTACATGTACAGAACTCTGTGTTTCCATGTGGCATGCCGCCTTTCCTTACCTCAAAGCAAAATTTATCAAATGTTATTTTTGATGGAGTCAAACACGAATGTCCTAACATTAGAAGGACACCTGGTGGACAAACCTCACTTTCAGACCTTAAATCGAAATACTAGCATATTTAATTTCATGGAATGTTTGACTTTACTTGAAAATATTTTTGTTTTTTTACATGTGGTGATTATTAAATTAAGATTCATATTCTAGGGCACTTTGGTTTTATATGTTAGGCTTCTTGATTTTGATAAAATTGTGCATGTTTTACAGTTAAACATCATCTAATTTAACTCACAGCTCCTGTCCATTTGTGAGGCTTCTTGTGGTTTTCAGTTCATGTGTTTTGTATCGGGTCAATGCAAACAGGCTTGTTAGCTTTAGAATCACAGCCACATGTAGCTGCTCATTCTGAGATGATGTTCTGATTTTTGTTTTTAGTTTTTTTTTTCTCTCCATGTTGTGATGCTTTCAGTGAACACTTTACTGTGTTGGGAAAATATTCCTGGTGTTTGCATATTTTCCTTTTTGGTAATTTACTGAAAATTAAAACCATAGATGCATCTAATACAAAACTGTCTAAATGTCTTTTTTTTTTGTCCTTTGGTCAGTGAGTAAAACTCCACATTTTACAAATAATTTGTACATGTATATCATATGCACTGTTAAATTGGCAGGTTTGTTTTCACATATATTGGGACAGTTTTCCTATTCAATTGAAGTAAAACACATTTATTACAGTACATCACAAAAAGTTGTGTAATGGGACATTTTATAAGGTGCTCCTCGCTCTTCAGTGTATTTTATTTGTTCCTGGGGGCGTGGTCTGAGAACTCTGACGTAGCCTTACTCCTGGTCGCTGATTGGTTGGACGTGACGCGTGCAGTTGGCGCCTGATTTCTAATGCGGAACACAACAGCTGTGGCAGTGGAAACAGTTACACTGACTGCAAACTGAATTAGCTGAATTAGCTTCTCCACTACGGACTTTTAACAAGCTTGTCTCGTATTTAATCGCGATTTAAACATGTTTATCGCCGACATAAAGAAGGATTTTTATGACGTTGTTGTCAACCAGGTAGGTTTTTCGGAGCTGTTTGTTGGCTAACTAAGCTAGCGTCAGATCATAAGCTTTCCAGTCGGTGAATAGTGGATTTTATGTGTTTTTGTTTGTATTTAGAGAGTCGTCCTCCTGGTTGCAGCAGACATCGATGCTCTCTGCGCCTGTAAGATACTTCAGGTAAGGGGAAAAGTCCTGTCAGCGAGAATTATCTCCTCTTTTAAGGCCCAGAAAGCTGCTGTAGTCATAACAAAGGAAACCTGTTTAAACTTCATATGATGATGACAAATACATGAAGAAATCTGTTATTATCTCCTTCCTAGTGTTTTAAGAGTTGATAAATATGTTTTTTACATTATGTTTAAGCTGTGTGCAATAGTGGAAAAATGATACCTAATTTTGCCAGTTTTTTTCTTTAAGACTATTACAATAACACATGCAAATACAATCTTATTCTTCTCACTATCTGAGATTTAAAATCTATTAGCAAATCATTTATTGTGACATTTAGCTGCTCAAACTGAATTAGGTCATTTTAACTGATGTGAAGCATAAAGTTTAGTTTGATTTATTGACAGCCAGTAATAAAAAATGTTATGGATGTAAATGTCTGGTTCACACATAAGTTTGATAATGACCACAATGCAAGAATGTCAAATTTTATTAAAAAAAAAAAAAATCTGAATTAAGCATCAAGATGTTCAGATTGAGCTGGGTTTAAGAGTAAAGATTATCACCTATCCCTCCAGTTGAATCTCCTCCCCAGGAGCAATGCTATTTATTTAATTTATTCAATATTTACTTATTTATTTCTTGTTTATTTTTAACTTTTTTCATGCACAAGCCAAAAAAGGAGAAAACACAATTCTGGAAAAAAAAAACAAGACAAAACAACAGCAGAAATACATAAACAATATTTAAACTTCTGTCAATCACAAGAACTTGGTTAAATTTTAATTCAGAAATCACACAAACCCAGCATTAATACAGTTAAACTTTATTAAAATGTATATACAAGGTGCATACGTTTTTTACCAAACCATTTTCAACACAGATTTGTAAAGAGAAGACAAATGCAAATTTAATGGTCCTGACATTTTCAAAAATATGTAGATTCAGATCAGCGATGATAGATAGCATTTCAATTAAAGGTCCCAGTTTATGAAACAATGAGATAAAACAATCTAAAAATGTTTCTGTGTTTCAAAGAAATTCTCAAATTATTTTTGAACAATAATAATTGTTTAATTTTTGTGTGTTTGAAATATGTTTGTAATAGTCTTCTGAGCTGAGTAGCTTTTCTTTTTATGTGAATTAGGGGGAAATATTATAAGTTTATACTTTATGCTTGTTTTCATTTGTGATTTCTTTTTATATATTGCATGAACTGTTTTTTGAGTTAGTGAAACACAAAATAAAGTGTTTCAAAATGAACACAGCCTGCCAGGCTTATAATTCCTATCAATTATTTGCACTGATTAGCATGAGCAGGTTTGCCTGATGACTAAACTCTAAAGTTGAATTATTATGGTTTATGTGGAGATTAATGGAGTTTTTTTTTTTAGGCGCTGTTTCACTGTGATCAGATCCAGTACACTCTGGTACCGGTTTCGGGCTGGCAGGACCTCAGCACCGCCTTCTTGGAGCACAAAGAACAGGTGAGTTTCACCTGCCGGTTCCTATAGGAAGCCATGTTGAATCTCTGGACTGAGAGTTTTCCTTTGTGTTGTAGTTTCGGTATTTTGTTCTGATAAACTGCGGCGCCAACGTCGACCTGCTGGAGATGCTGCAGCCGGACAGTGACTCCATCTTCTTCATCTGCGACACGCACCGACCCGTTGATGTCATTAATGTCTACAACGACACCCAGGTGACCTGATTATTGATTTTATTTCTGTTGGCAAAATAACCTGGATTTGTACAAAACTTTATCTAGTCTGGAAAAAAACATACAAGAGTTGATTTTTATATTTGTATTTTCCTTCTTGTTTCCTTGTTTCCTTCCTCCCACGCGTCCTGCCTTCCTTGGATACTTTGTTCCTTCGTCTCTTTCTTTCCTCCCTTTCATTCTTTCCTTAGGTCCTTAGTTCCTTTCAGCTTATTTCCTTCATTACGTCCTTCATCCTTCAATTGTTGGATGCATCTTTCTCTCCTCAGTCCTTGAATCCTTCTGTCCTACTCTATCTTATATTTCCATCCTTTCTTTGTTTCCTTACTTTTTTCCTTTTTTCTTTCAATTCTTTCTTTGTTTTCTTCTTTCCTTGCTTCCTTCCCATTTTGTTTCTTATTTTTTGCTTCCTTTCTTTCATTCTTCCTTTCTTCCTTGAGTTACTTCCTTCCTTCCTTTGTTTCTTTCTGATCTTTTTTGGTTTTTGGTTTGTCTCAAATGGGGACATGATGGCGTCCTTCTTGTTGTTTCATCCTCTGTCTTCTTCTCCTCTGCAGATCAAGCTGCTCATCAAAGAGGACGATGACCTCGGCGTGCCGACGTACGATGACATCTTCAGGGACGAAGACGAGGATGAGGAGGGCGAAGACTCCGGGAACGAGAGCGATGAAGGCTCGGAGCCGTCGGGCAAACGGAGGAGATTTGATGAAGTGAGTTGAGTGTCGCGGCGGCAGTGGAGCTGAGGACCTGAGCTGACTGTTGTCGTGACGTTGCAGGGCGCCATCGAGAGGCGGATCGAAAGGCAGAGAGCAAAGAGGCAGTGGGAGGCCAGAAGGTGATCAGATGATCTGTTTCATAAAGACACAATCTCCATTTTCTGTTTTCTAAATCTCTTTCATGTTTTTGTCGATTCTCAATTTCTCCGATTATCTGTGAAACAAATTGTTCGTCACGCTGCCGTAGAACCGGGTGATTTATTTAAAAATAAATCTCTGATTTTATTTTATACCACATCCAATTTCTGATTTTAATCCATTTTTATCTTGCTTTCTTTTCTAAAAAAAGAAATTACAACTGAAAGAAAATGTGGTTTTCAGTCAGGCCTTTCTTTGAATATTAGGACCAGGCTACAAGAATTTTTAAATTTTTTACCAGAATATCAGCATAAAATTTGCAGAACAGTTTGTTATGGAGCCATGAAGACTTAAACAGCTCAGTCTGTGCGTCTTTCTTTGAAAAAGGACTCAGACGTTTCAAATCCTTCTGCTGATAATAATTTAACTCTGATATGTTTGACAGGAGGGAGATCCTGTTCGACTATGAGCAGTATGAATACCACGGCACCTCTGTGAGTAGGATGAACATTAGAGAAAAGTGAATTCATAGTGAGCTTTCTTTCATTTTGGCCCTGATGGATGTGTGGCAGCCATGTTGAGTCATTTCTGTTTGCAGGCGGCCATGATGTTTTTTGAGCTCGCCTGGGTCCTGACTAAAGACACAAAGGACATGCTGTGGTGAGTTTGTCTCTGAACATCATGGTCCATACTGGGGCTTGAAAATGCTTCAGCTGGTTTGGATTCAAAAACACAATTTTTTAAAATAAAATTCCATTGAACATTTGATTGGAAAATTTTATTTAAGATTGAAATCATAGGTTTTTTTCATATACCTAATAAAAGGAGACATTTTTCCTTCACTGTCTGAACTTAAATCAAAGTAACATTTTCTTTGTTGTACAAAGTTTGTTTTAGGTCAGTTAAAATTACCAAAATTCTTTATTATTTTCTAATTTCCACAAAATGAGGATGAGGAATTTTTTTTAAAAGAATTTTTTTTTGTAATTTTGTTTGTATATCATTTAATTTTAGCAAATTAGCACAATTTGTTTGGATTGTTTAAATTTAATAAACATATCTTCCCTAATTTGTCATTGTCTCAATGACTTATTGATTTTAACGTCTTTAGTTTCATCGTACAACAGTGTACAACAAAATTGGGGCATAGTTCCCGTCTTAGTACAATTATGTTAAATAATCAATGAATAGCGAAATAGAAATAAATAATAAACACTATTTGACACTAAATGGTGGCGTTAAATTGGTGTTTTGAGGCATTTTAAAATATAAAATTTTGTTATATTGGTGGAATACTACCAAAAGATATTAATAACAGTAATAAATATTATAATATAACTGTTTTTTTGTCAGCTTGGATTGTTTTTATCTACAAAGTCTGGTGCTGAAAAAGTTTGAAAACTTACCTTGAAAATTATTTAAAAAGTGCTTGAATTTTACTGTGGGAAAGATATACGAACATGAAATGATAGTATAGGGTAATATTGGACCCGTCACCCTGCAGCTGTGTGTTAACTCTGTTGTTTGTTGTTACAGGTGGGCCATCATCGGCCTGACAGACCAGTGGGTTCATGATAAAATCCCCCAGTAAGAAAAACGTCTGCATTTTGAAAAAGGTTTTTGATACGAATCAAAACCTTTTTGATTCGTATCTCAGAGAGATTTTATGTTCTCGTTTTAGCATGAAGTACGTGTCGGACATCGCGACGGTTCAGCGCCACGTTTCCCGACACAACCACCGAAACGAGGATGAGGAAAACTCTCTGTCCATCGACTGCATGAGGATCTCCTTTCAATACGAGTATCCTTCATTCAGGCCCCTCAGTCAAACATACACAAACACCAGACGAGAAGCTGATGCAACCTTTCTCAAAAAGTTTCGATGCAAAAGTACAGACATTATATGGAGCTCTGGTAGTGACAAAAAATCAATACATTTTGGAGGTTTTTATTTAATTCTTTTTCATCAATAAAATCTGCCTTAAATTATATTTTTTTCCCCTTTTATTTATTTATTTATTTATTTATTTTTATTCTTGATTTCCCAAAAAAATAAAACCACTTAATTGAAGTCAAATATATCATGTCCTTATTGTTTTATGTCCTTATTGAATGAAAAATACATGTGGCTATAAAAAAGAGCAGTTTTAGACATATAAAAATGTCAAAAAATTTTTTTACCAAAAACACAGGAAATTTCCGGTTTTATAGGTGATGCCAACCTCTGCCAAAGGCAAAATTCCCATGTATTTTTCTTTTTTTCTTTTACTTAAATCTCCATAAATTTGTTTTTGGTTTATCTTGGCTGCATCAGTTTTTCCACAGGTAACTTGTATCTATGGTTTGTGCAAGTCTGTAACCTTATTTATGATATTTCTAAAAGACTTATATACTTCATAGTGCAAAAAATTCTGGCAAGGGACAAAAATATATCCAAATTACTTATATTTCCTTGGTATTTGAAACTATAGCATCTGCTGTAATACTTAAACATTTGGTGGAGTTTTCAAAGTGTTCGCTCTATTTTGATACCAAGATTGTAACTTTGTATTAGCTGAAAAAAACTAAATTTGGTTTTGGTATTTTAACCGTACATCAGAAGTCCTTGAATTGCTTATAGATTCTTGAATTTTGTCTTGTTTTGCCATAAGATGTTTTCTCTTAACGCTTTTCTTTAGCCTTCGTCTGGCGTTGTACCAACACTGGTCTCTATATGAGAGCATCTGCAACTCCTACTACACAGCATGCAACTTCAAGCTTTGGACCCTAAAAGGACAAAAGAAACTCCAGGAGTTCTTGGCTGACATGGGGTACGAGCTTTGTGTGACAACAGTGCCGAGTTTTCCTGTTGTTTTTGTTGTTTATTTTGTGTTTGTCTGTATGTGTGCATATTTCATTCTTGTTACAGGCTACCACTGAGACAAGTTAAACAAAAATTTAAGTCAATGGACATTACGATTAAAGAGAACCTCAGGGACGTCATTGAGGAGTCGTCTAATAAATACGGGTACGTACAGAAGTTAAAAAACTCTTACTTACGTGTGCATCACTCTGTCACAATAACAAATCTTTTTGGATGACAAATTGTTCCAGACGTTATTGCGATAAATGATAATATTGTTGTTTTGAGACAATTTTCAAGTAATAATACAAGAACACATTTTCAGTGATTAAGGAACTTTCACACATAAATGAACATTTAACACTGGAAGAGGAAAACATTTTAAATGTTCAAAATGACTGAACAAAACAAATTAAAAAAACGATGAATTCTTGGTAAACAAATTTGTCCTTCAAATAAAGGACTAATTAGGGCCAAAGCACCAGACTGAAGACTTTTTTGTCATCCAATTTTTGGTAGAGAAAAACAATAAATCATAAACATGGAAATTATAGAGCTTGTTATAATTTGTCATGTGATTGATAAATGTATTGCTTATTGTGACAGACCTCCATGTGACCCAAACAATTCAGGACTTTAAACTTCCACAGCAGATTAAAAATAACCAATAATGTACAAGATAATGGTACATGGGGTGAGATCGAAGCCAACAACGAAATAGAAAGAACTAAATGGCACCAATAGAAGAAGAAAACAATAAATTAATGAAGCAATCTGTTGCTTCACCAGCTCTAACATCGGTTTCATATTTTCCTGTGAATGTGACAGAATGAAGGACATTCGCATTCAGACGTTTGGCGTCCACTTCGGGTTTAAGAACAGCTTCCTGGCCAGCGACATGGTGCACGCCGCCGCCGCCTTGCTGGAGAGCACGGAGCGGGACGAGAACGACCCCACCGACAACTTCATCAAAGCACTTGATGCCCTCTCACGGTGTGTACTAACTCCAGTGCTAACTCATCTTAATGCTGTCGCCTTTCTGCTGCTGACGTTGCACATTTTTAAAGGGGACGTAAAGGTGCCAAATTCACATTTAGCTCGTTTTTGAACTTTGGTCTCAACAAAATAAAAAACAACCAAAGAGCTTAAAAGAAACGCAGTCGGTTATTTGGCAATAAGTTAATCTTTTTTGGTTTGGTGATAATTAGCAGACATTACAATCTGAGCTCATGAACGTTTGGTCTGCTGGTTTTACCGCTGCATGCAAAAACAAAAAAAGTGTTATGTTGTTGACTTAAAACGTCCTAAATTCGTACAGCTAATATTAAGATCTTACAGAGAAAACTATAATCTGTCATTGCATCAATAGTAATACCGCATGCATTCAGGTGCACATTAATTTGTTTCCATCTGTTTTACACAGGAGCAACCTTGATCGCCTCCTATCAGGCATCGACCTGGCGAAGAAGAAGCTGATCGCCATCCAGCAGACTGTCGCTAGCTGCATCTGCACCAACATCATCCTGTCGCAGGGACCCTTCCTCTACTGCTACCTCATGGAGGTACGGCTGTTTACTCCTGAAGATGTTTCCGCTGAGCTGCAGATTCCCAGGTAAAATCCTGTTTCTTCTGTTCTTCCATGAAGGGAACACCTGATGTGAAGCTCTTCTCCAAACCACTGGCGCTAACTCTACTCTGCAAATACCTGCTGACGGCGTTCGTCCACTCAGTGAGTACACACAGCATTTGATTCTGGAGGCAATGATCTCACAGTCGCTTTAAATCCCTCAATATCCTTGACTTTCTACTAGGTGTTTTCTAGGTTTGTAAACTCCTTGATTTCTTTATCAAGTCTTAGAAAGTGCTGCACAGTTTTGTAATAAAGTGCAAAATAACCTTTTGATGAAAAGCCTAAATTTGTGAAATGTTATTTATAGCCAAAACCAGATATGTTGATGTTCGTATTAAAAGGACAGACACATTTGTTTTTCTCACTGTCTGAAGATAAATCAGACTAAACTTCAGTTAAAATATTTTCTATTTGCTAAAAGCCTTCTTGCTACAGACTGTCTTACAAAAACAGAGTATCTTTGGTCAGAGGCTTCTTCAGATTTGCTTTAATACAGACTGCTACAGGAGATCTTTCTTACCCACATCCATGACTACATGTAAAAAGAAATTGAAGAATTTTGAATTAATTAGCTACAGCAATATTTTATTACCTTTTGGGATCTATAAAATATTTTTTAATTTAAATGCCAGAAAACTTGGTGAGAAATTTTTTCAGAATTTTTCTTTTTTAACTTTTTTCTTAAATTGTGTTCAAACATTTAATTTGCACAGGAATATAATTTATACATTTGTTATAAAAGTATTACTGATTAAACTTTAACTTTAATAACATAAAGCTACATAATTTTTAAAGTTTAAGAAATAATACTTTAAAGCAAATTTATGTCAGATCATAATATCTTGGTTAATGTCAAGTTGTCATAACAAAGATATTTTGAATAATGTGAATTTAATATTAAGAGTATCATGATTTACCAAATGACACTTTATGACAACAGTCATAAATATTCATGAAGATTTATTCATGTTCATTACGGCGTCATGACAGTATTTTTATTCACAACCCATCAAAGTGTTACTGAGATTTGTTTTAGTTCATTTGTGCAATTTTTACCTCCAGTGTGGTAATGGAAAAGTTTGAAAAGTGCTTGAATTTCACTCCGATTCAGACATTAAAGGCTTTCCGCTCGTTTATTTGCTGTCCTGCTTGTTCAGACGAGGAACAAACGCTGCAAGCTGCTTCCTCTCATCATGGCTGCTCCTAAAGACGTGGAGAAGGGAACCGTCATTGTTGTGGGAATCCCTCCAGAGTCAGAGACGTCAGACAAGAAGAAGTAAGTTTCCACTTTCAGTTCTCAAGCTTCTTGAGAACTTTTTATTCTCGACCGTGAACACTGTTTGTTTTTTCTTGAAGTTTCTTTGGTCGGGCCTTTGAAAAAGCTGCAGAGAGCACCAGCTCCAGAACCCTTCATGATCACTTTGACACGTCGAGTAAGTGACGTTTATTTACCGTCTCAAGGTACCCTGTCCCTTCGTTAATGTAGAAATTGTGACACTACTTCATAAATAAAGTGATTCAGTCTATCAAAGTCACTCAGAGCATCAACAACTCAACCAGGAAATCACAAAATTACAGAGAACATTTAAGGCTCTGCAGGCCTCACTTGCTCAGGTATAATCACTGTGCATGACTTAATAATATGCATCAGAGAAACGATCATCTTTCCTCCAGCAGATTCCTGCATTGTTTTACTCTTTTCAAGGAAGAAAATTCATTATAATAAAAGTTCATTTGCTTTGGTGTTCAAACAGAAATAAAACCCCATGAACATAATGCATTATTTGGAAAATATAAAAAAATTTATCAATTTTTATTAGTGGTAATGAAGGCTACTTTGTCACAGCCGGTCTTGATGTTCAGTTTTCCCTCTTTTTGGACCCTCGCTGATAGAAAAACATTTCCTCAAAAAAACGTAGAAAGTTTTATAATAATTTTATAAATTTTGTTGAAAAAAATTAAGAAACTTAAAAAAAAAGTTTAAAATTTGCAAGAAATAAATACATTTTGAGATTAATTTGACATTTTCTAGAAAGAAACTTTTTTTGAGTATGAAAAGTCAAAATAGACAAAACTGAAATTATCTGAAGACTTTTCTAGAAAAAACTTTTTTTTTCTTGGAAAACTGGAGATTTCAGAGTTTATTTATTACCACCTTTTTTTAATTCTAAAAAATTTTGGCTTTAATTTTTTCATCTTTTTCACCTTTCTATCTTCAACGGCCCTAAAGCGTCGTTGTGTAATAATGACGGAAACATTTGATACTCGCTGCTCAAAGGAAATCTCGACAGACTGGGACGGATCTTAGGAAAACGTTTGCCTCCTTGTCTCGACACCAGGTGGCAGTATTGTCTCATGTTGGTCCTAAAAGCTAAACTCCACAGAAGACATAATTCCTGAGTTATCCTGTCAGTTTCAGCATCTCTGAAATGTTTCAGATTATTTCCAGTCATTCCCACCTCAAACATCCAGAGCATTTATTTTCCCAGTTTCCTCCAGGGAATCTGCCGCATGAAGACACACACCTGGGTTGTGATGGATGTGTTCTGTCGTTTTTCTATGTTCACAGTTTATTTATCTGTGTGTTTCTGTTTACAGTAATCGAACTGAAGTCGGAGGATCGGAGCAAGTTCCTGGACGCCCTCATCACTCTGCTGTCATAAAAACCCTGACAGCCGTAGAAGCTTTTCAGACCAGGTCCGCATTCCTCCAGGGTTTACTCTGGAGGAATAATCTGGTCTGGCCAGACTCTTAAAGTATCACCAGCACAAAAACTTTAAGCATTGTTTTATTGGTTTTAATTGGTTTTATGTGTATATTGTACAGGTCTCTTATCCATGTTTTGAACTTTAACATTTGTTTTAAATCTCTTGCTTTTTTAATCCAAGATGTGGTGCATATTACATTACATTATAGACATGTTTAATAAATCATTTAAACTCATCGATTGTTCAAATGTTGTCTGTTCTGCCTGTGAAAAATCAAAACAAATTTTGAGAAATTCCGCTCAACGTAACAAAAGTGTAATATAAGTGCCTAAAACAGCATAATAAATTATGACAACTACAGCAATCAGGCAGTGATAATAAACATCCGGAGGTCAGGCAGTGTTCCCTAAATGTATTTATTGGTATTTTCTACCAAAACACCTTGTGATGGACGAAGTGAAACACATAAAAAAAAACTTTTTTTTTTTCTCACTGAAGTTAAATCAGATCAAACATTTATTGCTTTGTCATTGTTAGGATTACAAAATTTATTTCTGTTTGGTAGGTGCCAGAAAAGTTGACAAAAAACATTTTTTTAGATTTTTTTTGGTGATTTCAAATATTCACATATATTTGGTCAGTATCAGGGATAAATGTCTTTTGTATTAATCTTGATGAGATATAAAGCTACAAAAATGTTCTAAAAAGTGCTTTTACCAAGTTTTCTGGCATTTAGCAATAAATAAACAATTTGCTGAATTATTTATATTTGAGCCAATATAAATAATTATAATTATCTTCTTGACACAAACATTTGGTCTGATTTAACTCCAGAAAATGTCTTTTTATTCAGTGTACATTAATGTCTGGTTTCTACTGTGAACACAGAAACCCAGAGAGTGTAAGATGTGAAGTCGACCTGCTGGATCTGAGAACAACAGGAGCTCAGCATGCGGGTCAAAGGTTAATGTGGTGAACTTGACCCACATTGGACAGAATGTAGGTCGGGTTCTGGTGGTGGGTGAGTCATTAAGATCCTTATCGTCCCCGGATCAGGATCCGATCGTGACCTCTTGGGGTCGGGGCTGTTGGGCGTTGGCTCAGGAAGTGGTCCAGCCCCAGGCTGAGCCGACCCGCTGCAGAGCGTTAACGTAAACAAACACGCCATCACTCCTCCATGATGCTGTGGTTTACAGATACATAGGAGATGATGAGGAGGAGGATGTTTATTTTTCCAAATGTAGTTACTGATTGATGGACTTCTTGAACTTCAGTTTTTGTTTCAATTTCTCATGAACAGATTTATTTTTCTGTAATTTCAGAGATGAAAGCTTATAAAAATAAACATTTTATTTAATTAGTTTGAAATCTAAATGTTTATTGTAGAGAATGTTGACGTTATTCAGGTTCTAAGTGAAGAAGTTTCACAACAAAACCTTTCCACTATGTGGTTTTCAATCATTATTCGGAGCTTTGGACTGAGAAGCACTTCATGTGATACCGTAGTTCAACCAGGTGTCTGCTAATTGCTGCTGCCGCTAGTCTGGAGGAGCAGTGAGGAGGAAGCTTGGAGGAGGAGAACTATGTGAAATAAGCAGTGCTTTGTGAGACCGAACGTTTAGTCAAAGCTCCAGGCGTGTTTCTGATGAAGGAATAACCTTATAACATGACTTAATGTAATGCTGCCACTTAAAATAAAACGAAACAAAATAATAGTAATAAAAAAGTTAAATTATGCAGGATATTTATTTTTTTTCTAGAGTTTGTATAAAGTTTGTGGGAATGTTAAAAAGTTCAAGGGGAGTAAATACTTTTTTTGGGGGGAGGGTAATGGTGGTGGGTTTTGAAGCAGCTGAATGGGGGGAAACTCCTCTAGAAAAAAACAAAAACTCATTTCCCAGAAGAAGCAAACAGGCAGAGATCGGCATGGTAACCAGGTTACCTGGCAACTAGGGCCTATGTGGTGGTATGGATGAGCCAAAAAAAAGGCCTTCAGACACACACACACACACACACACACACACACACACACACACACATGCACACACATGCACACACATGGACACACACACATGCACACACACACACACACATGCACACACACACACACACACATGCACACACACACACACACACACACATGCATGGACACACACACACACACATGCACACACACATGCACACACACACACACACATGCATGGACACACACGCACACACACACATGCACACACACACGCACACACCACACACACACACACAAAGCAATCTGGAGGATGAAGGAAGGATTTACTGGAAACCTTTAATGGTCACTGCAAACATCTGACAGCCAAACCCAATAAATTCATTGTGTCACTTTAAGAGCAACAGTTGGCTGCTGCGATGAGTACAGAGGAAAAATGAGAAAAAAGCCCCCGAAACAGCCACTAATCAGTGTTTATTTGGTGAGTAACAACAGTGACAAACAGGAGATTAATTTTAAAAACTGAGGCTAAAAGCCATTCCCAAAGTGATACTGATACTCAGCTGAATTAGTGAGCAGCAATTTAATTCATGTGAAGTTCTACAATCTCTAAAACAAAGCAGGATTAATTGATGTTTTTCTCTGCTTGAGTCAGAGTTACATCAGAGCCAGCAGGTGCATTCGGTCAACAGACTTCCCAGCTGGTCGGACCCCACTCACCAGAGAGCAGAGCCAAGTGTCAGCAGGTGGTCGCATGTGGGGGACAAATGTAGCTTTGTGCAAAGAGTTAACGACCCCATGAGCCGTTTGTTTAAGAAACAATGAGAGGACCATTGTTGGTAGAGATCAGGACAAAAAGCAAGAAAACCCCCCCACAGCGTTCAGCTCTGTGCCATATTCTCAAGATCTACCACTTTGTGAGTCATGGATTTGATTCTGAAACCCGCTGCATGGCCAGGCTTCCTGTGCGAGGGACAACGGAACAGGAAGCAGGAAGGAACCTGGAGGGTGTGGAGAGGAGGAGGCTGTGTGCCTGTGTTTCTCTTTCTGGGCTTGGAGCTCTTTGGAAATGGCTCCAAAATATAATAAACAAAGAAAGACAGGTGAAACCTAATCTAGACTCCTGCCCAACCGTTTTGGTGTTAGTTAATTTTTTCTCATGTCTCACATTTAGAACCAGGTCATTCATTTTACTGTTTTTAATATTTTTATAAGCAAATCCATGAGATTTATAGTACTGAGCCATCGTCTTCGGTGTCAACTTCCAAGACATATCCAACAGATTCATATTTTATTACTTATATGCACAACTGTACATCTTTGAAAAGCAGAAGTAGAGCCTCCTGTACAACCAATGAAAATGCAGCAAGTGGTTTCTTGACGGTGAGTCTACAACAAAACACGAAAGGCTGAATGGATGTAACTAGTTACATTACATTACTTTTACAGTTACTGTTATATTTGTGTTTGATAATGGCCAGCCATCTTGTGTTGCTCATATCCTTTTCATCTTTTCATGGTTTTGCTCACACAGGTTTCTCACAGGTGTGTTCTCCTATTCTTTACATTTATGCATTCACATAAACACATGGTCGCCACCTAGTGGACATAAGCATAATTCATTCAATCATCAGTTACTTGAGTAACTTTTGGAAAAAAAATACTTTTAGGAGTATTTTTTCTTTTCTAAATTGCACTTCTTACTCTTACTTTAGTCATTTTATTATGAAGTATCAAAACTCTTAATTGATTAAAATTTCTGGATTCTTCACACAGTGAGAGTAACTTCACTGAATGAAGAACAAAAACATTTTAATCAGAAATTCACTGCAGACACAAACTTGCAGTTTTTGGTAAAGTGTTGTAAATTTTACCTTGAAAGAAACTAATTTGGAAAAATATTCTTTTGACTGATTGTGTTCTACAAAAATGGAACTAGGTAATTATTACACAACAACCTTTTTTCCCTCTTTTTTTTTTATTCCAGCTTTCAGTCGGAATGAAAAAAATATATTTTCATTTTGGTTTTTAAAATACCAAAATTTCCACAAAATTTTATATTTTGGAGTGTGATTTTTTTTTAACATTAAATGATTGACGTCTCAATCACTTGACTAGCCTTTTTTTTTTAACCAAATACTTTTACTGGAATAATTTTTTGGGAGGGATACTTTTTACTTTTACTTGAGTAAAAATGTGTTGAAGGAGTTCTTCTCTTACTTTTTGGATTCTCTCCTTTGATTGTAAGTGATATAATTTGCTTAAATAATTAGTTTCTTCTTCATGGCGTGATGTGCTATACCACTAGTTGTAAAAGGCAATGCCAAGTCTTAAGGAAAATAATGTTTTCAACCATATCTCAATATAATATCTGAAGTTAGAGAAATAATCTCCCAGATGTTTAATCTAGATTTCTAGATTTTCTTTTTCTTGATCATTGAAAAAACTGAAGACGAAGGAGCAGGGAGTCTCCTCTCCTCTGATCTCTGAGATCATGCTTCTGTGTAGTTCATCAACCAAACCAATCCATTTTTGTCTCTGAACCAGGAAAAGCTTGCTGCTACTTGGACAGATGTAAGTCAGAGCAGATAAAGTGGGGAGGGAGGAAAGCTGTCTAAGATGAGGACAGTTCCTGGTAGGATGAGGAATGTCTCTGGGGGATCAGGAGGCATTTCTGATTTAGCAAAACGTGTGATGCTGACCTCTATGCTTGCAGGATTAAGCAGAAACTCCCTCCAACACACAGCGCTGAAATTTTATTTGTAATTTGCATGATCTGTATGGACCCTCTGCAGGGTGACACTGCACGGTTTTAGCTAACTTGTCAAAATAACAAACTATATCTTAAATATAGGCCTAATATATAAAAGAATAAGGGATGCAGTGCTTTGCAACTAATTGTCAACATTACAACAACTAGATAACAAGGTCAGGAAAATGTTTTAATTGAGAAAAAATAGCAAAGGGGAGAGGGAAGTAGTTCAGTTATGGTTATGCTAGCTTGACTTTGACAAACTTGATGTAGATGTGATGTGGAATTCGATGTGTGTTGGTTCAGTTAAAAAATTAAATTAAAAAGAACCTAAACACAAACCCTGACAGATCATAAGCAGAGCAGTCTTTAAATTAGCTCATCAACCATCGCAGCGTTAATTATCTTATAGCAGCGTGGCTCTGGACGGCATGTAAAACAAAAGTCGTTTTGACCTCCAGCGTTGTGCGCATGCGCAAAATTTCCTTCTATAAACAAAAACAAGCAAAAGGCAAAGAGT